TCTCCTCAGCCGGGACGTAACGAAGGCCATCTGTCGCGGGAATGATGTATATATCGTGGATAAATCTCTAAAAACGTTTCTACCGTGGCGAACAACAATCAGCGACGCACGAGGGATCATTTTTCGGAATGCCCTTAATGCGGATTGCCGCAACTCTTTAGAACACATTCATTATCGTGGAACTGCAACGAGTCGTTTTGCCGAATCGCTGCAATTTTGTACGTCAAGCAACGTTACGAAATTACTTGTAAAGATAAATCGCGGGCAGGTTGTAAAACGTCCTGATCTCGGAGTAGAAAGGTAAACGATTTTTTTACGTGATCTAAATTCCTGTGGCGTCCTAGGCAAAGCAGAAAAAAAACGCAACCGCCGCGACTATCGCAAAAATTGCGTCTCTAAAATATCCAATGATCATGCACGAAGTCAGAAAATATGGTGCTTTTAAGAACCTTTATTAACTATTGAGTCTTACAGAAAATGAATCGATGCTAATGTGTCCACGATCCATCTGTATGTAGGTCAGAATCTTTTCAACTTGGAATTAGAAGTCGATAAATTACAGCTGTGTTATGATAATCTCCTCTAAGATCATCAATATTTCCGTAACAGTGAAGCATATCTTAATTGCAGGGATTTTGCGAAAAACGTTGCGGAATCATTTTTTTGAAGTTTAATGTTTGTACTTTCAGGTAGAATGATAATGAAAGGGGCTTAGAGCGAGGTTGTTTTCACAAGCCGAGGTTCAGGTTAAAGTTGCGACTGTCGTCTTTTATCCTTCCGATGCACGCGAAATGGTACCATTGATCATTTGAATTGTCAACAAATTTATAGATTCGCGCGTGATGTGCGATGATCGAACGTAAGATAGAAATTTATTGGGTTCGGTATCACGGCGAGTCAGCTGATTCGGGATTGACACAGTTCGAGCTGCGATAGCGAGAGAAAGGTGAAGCCGACCGTCGCGGTTACACACGTTTTCATTTCGCGCTCTTTGGCTTGGCGACCGCGAATTTACGAAGCGTAACTATACCGATTCCGTTATAACGAAGGAAACGATTCACTCCTGATGGCTTTCTTTATTCGAGCCGTGAATCGATGTCGACGGAATGAGTACAGAAACCGAGATTCCAGCTCGGTTCTCTTACATACATGTAAATTCAGGTACAATAATGAATTAATAATTAAATCAATTTTCAATATTTGGTAACAGATACGAAGAAGGCACATTTACTAGAATGGTCAGTTCGTATGAAAATATGCTTCGTGGCGTTTAATCGATTCCCTCGCCATTTTCTTTTTCATTTGTATCCAGAGAAGACAAGTGACCTTTGGAATCAGTTATATTGATGATCATTTGGAAGTGACGTTGACCCTTTCCATTCGACAGGGATTTATACATCTTTCTATGCAGACAGGGCAAAGTACTTATCCTCCTGTTACAATTCTTATCTTTATTCATCTTATTGGTAACATCGAGAGATTATCGATAATTTTTTTTATCGTTTTCGACATCGGAATTCATCGAGCAATGTAGCTTTTCTGCAAGAATATCACGAGTCTAATGAGCATTGTCGTTTTATCGAAGGGGGGGCCGGGTAATGCAGAACGAAAGCGCGTCGTTCCTAATCGGTCGACCCCACTCGCAGGCAAAGGTTGCGCGTCGTTAGGGAACCGGTATCGAGGCTCCCCGAATCGACGTGACACAGAAACTAGTCGGTGAGTTGTATCGCGATGGTGCATTCACGCGGTGCACATTGCCGTTCCAGTGATAAAAGTTCAAAACTGCAAAAACCTAATTATATCAGGAGGAAAATAGTCGTTTTGTCGATTTATCCACAACTTGCACCGATTTTATCCAACAGCTATGCCATTTGTATCTATTTGAATAAAACGATAATATTCGGAATCGCGATTCTTAGTGATCACATGCCGGTTACTCGAAAATAGATATCTACCTGTACATACGTGTATTAGTTTATAGCGAACCTATCTTCCCGTTTCGACACGGTTAACCGTGGCCGCTTGCAATCGCAACTAATTGTCGTGACGGACACGAGGCAGTTAGGTATACTGGTTTTTGCGGATTCGATCGCCGACGACTCGGCTAGAACACATTCTATCTTCCGTTGTAGTCGCGAAAGTTTGTCGCTGGAGATCTATCATCCTGGGATTATCGATGTGTCTCTCATTCCTAATTGATCTAACAAGTTACGCGGTTAGTTACCGGAGAAGATAGCGTTCGTATGATCAAGCTATAAATGACACGTAACTGTCGCTCCGGGCTTAGATCCAAGACCATCCGCCGATTGGATTTATACGCTCTCGTCTATATGCCTTGGGACAGGTACAACGACATACAAATGTCGGATAGACGGGATTCGCAAGTGGAAGGAACGTTATTTTTCATAACTGGGATACACTGCATATAAAAAAGACACTTGTTGCGGTTTGGAGGGTAAATCGTGTACGATCCATGTCCCCGCGATGGGAATTTGTCAGCGGTTGTCCCATACGTATTCGAAACGCCGTTCACTTCACGATGTCGGGATGAACACGAGAAGGAAACGAGCGAAGAGATTGCGCGTGGTTGACCCCTGGTATCTCCTTTATTCTATGTGTACTACGAAGTCGACGTCGGGCGATTGCGATTTCTCCGAGCTAATCACAGGTATCGCGCGGAGAGATGATAGGAGGATCGAGGACACGCCGTGTGAACTTGTGATTCCCAGCTGTTGCAGGGTATTGATAAATTTAATGAATGAAATGGAATTAAATGACTGAAGCCAAAATACAAAATGAAGACGAAATATTGAAAGACGAGAAGCAGTTGAAAGTTCAGCTTCCAGACCCATTAATAGCGATCCGGATAGCGTGCACTGCATCATAGAATTCGTTGAATTGATGTGTAATAGAGGTGGAATATTTAAAAAACAAAAACGCGAGGATTGTCCGCGAAACTGCACGCCACAAATTAGACGGCTCAAAGCCGCTCTCGTCACCGCGCGCGTTCTACGCAGATAGGCTCGTTACAAAAGTGTCAAAAAAAACCAGCGACACGCTGCCTAAGTAACAAAGTAGCACGCTTCGTTAATAAACAGTGCTAGGAGGATATTGCAACATATAATTGAACGGTACGTGGTTACATGCCCGAAAGAAAAAGGGAGAAATTCAGGTTAATGAAAACGCGTACGGCGGAAATTATAAATCGATGGAAAAATGAAGAAGTCTCGTGTTCCAACTACGCTTTCCGACTGTGACTCGTAGGGAACGGTATATTCCAATCAATTCTCTTGCAGAGAAGACAATTTCAGGATGCTCGGTTGACTCCTCTAATAAAAGGTTTCGTATCGGGTAGTCGTTGATCCTTTACGTGGACGATTATCGATCACCGTAATCACCAGTTCTCCACTTTTTTTTCTTTCTTTTCTCCTACACCGCGGTGAAAATTCCGACTGGTTACCGTTCTCTACGAAGCCAGGCTAGCGGATCGATACTTTCGCGACTCAAGGACCCTTTTTCCGTCGACGGAATTTTAACGTAATCGTGACGTAACCGATAACAAGACGTTTGACTTTTATGATCGTTCGTAACAACGAAACGAGCAGGCCAATGTTCGCGAATTGTCCTTGCTCGCGACACCTTTGGTGTCGCAATTTCTAGCTGGATAGCTCGGCTGTTTGGATGTTCTGTTCCAGTTACTTCGAGAGGAAACGTTCGTCATAACTTTACGACCTGTCGTAAAGTAAACGTCGAATACAGTTTCGCTGTTTTGAATCGACTATTCAGCGGTTTCGCATAACAACTGCTGCTGAATGGCTGGTACTATCGATAACTACACGTGGGATCATTTGAACGTGTCTATTAGGTTCATGAGAGGTGAATGGCTGGTAAATAGTTTGGTGGTACCATTGGTTCTACTTTTAAAACAGGCATACGCCACGATAAATATAAATTTACAGGAAAACAAATTCTAGGAAGAATAATAGCAGGAGCTAGTGTCTGAAATTCCCTGAATGGTTTTTACAGCGTAAACGAGATTAAACGTTGTAGAATTAAAATAAATTGTAACGAGTAGCGATTTGATTCATTCATGGCTCACCAAATGTAATGAATGGTAGACGAAAATGACAAACATCTTAGCCAAACCTGTTCGCAATGGGCAAATGGGTAAATGGACACCACTTAGTAGTGTTTAATAGTAATATGACATTTTTGTCGTCCATGTGACTTGTTCGTGCAGAAATTAAATATCGATACTGACGGGTAACATAGAGGTATTTAAACAGAGGTTAGGAAAGATTCTTCGAAAGGGGATAAGATTGCCACTGAGCAAGCTGTCTAAACGCTGTCATTAAAAGCTGTAAAACTAAAAGTACCGCGGTCGTTTTTCCACTTGTTTTTCGTCCTGTATCGCATAGAATACGTTGTGGATTCGGAACCGGTTCATACGTAGATTTCAGCGAGGAATGTAGATTTGAGCAATCGCGTCGATCCCGGTCCTTGCGAAACCAGGCACACCGGAATTAACTAATCGCTCGGGAAAACAGAACTTGGTTGCCATTTCCACGAGATCATTAATTGTTCACCTTAAGCTACATTTCCATGCGACAGAAACCTCGGCGTTTTAAACTGATTAAATATAAATGTTTTTTGCAATACCACTTGGAATTTTCGTGACTTTCGTTATTGATCCTAGAAACAATCCTAGAAATCTGACCAGACGAGATTCTGTTGTATCGACACGTCAAATCATTTCAAGGTTCGTTAAGGATACTAATTATGGATATCCAGACACTTGATTGCTTTGATTGTTTCTTTTTAATTCTTTTTCATTCGACGTTTAATATCATAAGTAGATATCCGGTCACTTATGAACAGGAGTGTACATGCAAGTACAGTAAGTCCTTAAATTTTAAGTTAATTAAGCTCTACCCTTTAAACATTAAAACGAACCTGTCCAAAGTATTCTTCAGAATCCAGAGCGTTATCTCTTGTTCCAGTTGACTCCCCAATGAACGCCAGCGTTGTACTTTCGGGCGACGGGATGTCTAACATCTATAACAACTCAGTAGTCCGATTCTACGACTACATCTTCCACGATCTCTCCGGTGAGTTGAATTATTCACACTTTTGGTATCCATGAGACTCTATTCAATGTATTCTCTTCCCTCTTTCGATTTTCACGATTGTGCCTCGATTGTTCCTCAGATCCGCGGACGAAAGACTGGTTCCTGATACCGTCGCCCGTACCTGGTCTCACTATTATTTTCGGTTACCTGTACTTCTGTCTATCATGGGGCCCGAGGCAAATGCAGCACAGAAAACCGTACAATCTGAAGAATATTCTCGTGGTATACAACTTCCTACAGGTCCTCCTCAGCTGCTGGCTGTTCTACGAGGGTCTGGACGGGGCCTGGCTTAGAAAGTATAGTTGGAAGTGTCAGCCCGTCGACTTCTCTTACACGCCGGAAGCTATGAGGGTAAGTTTATTTCTCTGAATTTATCGTAGACCTATGCGTCCCTTTCGTACAGGCTGAACAAAGCCTAGCTATTCTGGTTCGACGGTCTGTTACATCTCGAGTAAATTAGATTCGCGTTACAGGTCGCCAGAGGTGTTTACGTTTACTTCCTAGCCAAGATCTCGGAACTGTTGGACACGGTGTTCTTCGTTCTCCGGAAGAAAGAGAGCCAAATCACGTTCCTCCATCTGTACCATCATACCGTAATGCCCATGATTTCGTGGGGAGCGACAAAGTATTACCCTGGTGGTCACGGCACCTTCATAGGTTCCTAAACACTCACGTTTCAGCCCATTAATCCGTGGGATTCTATTTTCGGGGAAGAATGTACATAGTTGTTTAACACTAAAATCAATTCGTACCTAAGAATGCCTCTGATCCCGAAATTCCGCGTGCTTTCTGATCTTAAAGCCTACGTTTTGATTTAACTTCCTATAAATTGTCTAAAGTGAATGATCTCGATCCCACGTATTATGCATTCTTTAGTTCATTTCAATAAGTGATATCGACTGACCGATGTATTCGTGTGTTGAAGGTGTTATCAATAGTTTCGTGCACATAATCATGTACACGTACTATCTGCTAGCTGCACTGTTACCTCAGTACCAGAAATACCTTTGGTGGAAGAAGTACATCACGACTCTTCAAATGGTACGATTCACAGAAATAATATAAATGTGTCTCTTAACATTTTTATTTGATTGTCAAGATTTTTAAAAAGAATTAGAAGATTCTAGTACTTTTCTTAGGCTCTCGTGTCTGTTGAATACAATTTACCAAAATATTTGTTGGAACAATGAAGAAATATCGTCTCTCGTTCAACAGGGTCAATTCTGCCTGGCGTTCTTACACAGCTGCCAATTACTCTTCTACGACTGCGATTATCCAAGATGGTCGCTGATTCTAATTCTCCCGAACGCGATGTTCTTCTACTTCCTGTTCGCCGACTTCTACAACCAGGCGTACGAATCTGCCAAAAAGGGTGTCAGAATGCTGGAAGCCAAAGAGAATGGCGTCGCGAAAAAGTCAGAAAATGGCTTTGCGAAAAAATCAGAGAACGGCGTTGCGAAGAAAACAGAGAATGGCGTCGCGAAGAAAGCAGCGAATGGAAAGCTACAGAATGGAAAAGGAAAAACCGATTAGTCCGGGATACGAAGGGAATGCCAAGACAGGGATGAAAACCGACCAGGATGTTTGCGAGTCGTGGCTGCATTTTCGCTCAATTCCTCGGGCTTCAAACCTCGTGGCATCCGTACTCAATCACAGAACACGAACGATCGGCAATACGCCTTTCGACAGTTCCACGTTCAGGATATTGAATTCATGATCGGTTCTCTAGGTCGTCCTAGTTGTCGACCGACTCAGGAAAGTCGAATCAACGAAATCAGATTTTCACGACGACGAGGAGAAAGATCATGAACCGAGATTAACAACTGCCGCTTTTCTTCGGTAGACCGTCATCGACTGTGTCCTCGACTCACGCGTCAATTAGACATCTTAGCTGTTTAAGATTGTAGATCCGTGGCGTGGGAAGACATCCTGGGAGAACGTAACCAGAAACAAGAAGCGACGAGGGTGTGACTTTCATCGAAATACTTTTCTTAACGTAGGGTAGACGATAGATAAGAATCTGATAACTCGTACTATACCACCTACGGATTCGCGAATATCTCGTCGAACTACAACCGTCTTTGTTATCTCCGAGTAAGTGTAGGTAGAAACTGTAAAATTCTCAGCGATAAAGTACATATTGTTAGTTTAACGAGGAGATAACAAAGACGCGCTGAGTTTGAAAGTAACGAATCCTGGATATCATTATTGATAAGAGCAACTCAGGAGCCTGGAATTCTTTCAATTTCCTGAAGTGTAGACGGCATCTCGGTCTTTGCGACGACTACGACGGTAAGCTTGAACTTCTATAATGTTGCAAAGTTCTCGCAGTTGATTCAAGGTCAAGTTTTCATAAACTTCCAGCGAAAAAGTCTACATAGAGACGTCGATGCTAATGATAACGTTTACACAGAATCGTTGGACGCGTACGCTGTAGATCCAGCGGTTAAGATTTGACAGAAATAGAAAGAAATCCGAAGATGTACAAGAAGTCGTGGGTACACGTTAATTATCTGCAATTAACAATGAGTCACATTGCCTTCTGTAATCATCCGAGACCGTAGAACATGCCGAACTTTGACCATTTTTCTTTTCATCTGTACGCCAAAGGATATTGAAACAATTTCAAAGAGAAACTCTCCTTGCCTCGGGTGTTGCAGCGTCCGAATTTCTTGATCCTAAATTCTCGTTCATGGTCGTCCATGTGTCGAGTGTTGCAACTGTTTCTCTCTTTTCGCGAGTATTATTCAGCAGCGCTGTTTAAGATCGATTCAATATCGTGTGTAGCGCGAAATTTTGAAAAGAAAGAGAGACACTGTTGCGTCCGAGCTGCTACCTGTTTTTCGGACGGTTTGCCGAACTTTTTAGAGATTTGCTAACTGGACACACATCTGGAAGAGAGCTCGATATTATAATTGCAAATGAATGCAATTTGCATGAACAAATGCGTGCAGTACGCGCGCGGCACAGTGCTATTCACCTTTTTTTAACAATTTTCATTCAGGAATATCGGAACACGGTTACGTCGATTATGTTTGACTCGTTAAACGGCTGCTGGCGTCGTTGTCGGGCCGAATTTTCATCGGCGGTAAGACCGAGTGCAGAGTATCCATTGTAATTAAGATATGTTAGCATTAGCGAGAACGAACGGTAATAATTAAGTCCAAAGAATATATGGCTTTAAGCTTGCTTCGACCGTGAACTGTTCGACGGAATCCTTGCCGCGGTAATTCGTCCGCGCTTTCAACTCGATTCCCCAAAGAGATTGCATTCGCGAAATGGTTTGATTTTTCTTAATTTTGATATCGAAGTCGAAGATGAGTTCTGTGAAATCTGACACGAATCCAATAGGAATTGATATGTACCAAATGAAAGGAAATTGTGAAGAATTTTCTTGAGAACAAGTTTAGTTTCGCTGTTACCATTTCGCATCTACACTTTAACGTGTAAACATCCGCGCGCTCCATCATTTTGCTCATGGAACAACGAACCATGGTATGTAAATAGTAATAGATTTTTCTTGTTCAATGGCACAGCCTCGTGAACGAACCCTTTCTTCATAAAAATCGTCGAAGGTATGATTTTATACAGCAGGATCTTTTTTTGTATCATATCAAATATGTATAACGTAACGTAGAATAAAAGTACGTATATTGAAATACGATATTAAGAACACGTATTATACAACCTACGGATTACCATAAAATAGGTGGAATTAATAAAAAAATTTTCATGTCATAAAATAAGTCGGCGATTCGATAGAAATGGAAAGAAATCCGAAGATGTACCACAAGTCGTGGGTACACGTTAATTATCTGCAATTAACCATGTGTCACGTTGTCTTCTTCTGCAAACCTTAGTCATATTTCTTTGATCCGCACACGAGTGGGTACTGAAACAATTTAAAAAAAAAACTCTCCCCATCCTGGGATGTTGCAGTGTCCGGATTTTTTGACCCTAAGCTCTCGTACATGGTCGTCCAGATGTCGAGTGTTCCAACTGTTTCTCTCTTTTTACCAGCACTATTCAGCAGCGCTGTTTAAGAACGATTCTGTACTGCGAGTAGTGTGAAATTCCAAAAAAAGAGATACTGATGCGTCAAAACTACTACCGATTTTTCGTACGGTTTGTCGAACTTTTTAGAGATCCGCTAACTGGACAGCCAGCTGAAAGAGGGCTTGATATTGTAATTGCAAATGAAAGCAACTTATATGTTCATATGTGCGTTCAGTGTGGCCCACCTTTTTTCAACGGTTTTCATCAGGGAATAACGGAACGCAGTTGCGTTCGCGGCTGATTATTTTCGACGCGTTAAACAGCTACTGACGTCGTTACTAGACCGAAAGTCTGTAGTTCATCGGAGGAAAGACCGAAAGCAGAATTTGTGCCACCGGTTATATTTTACAGAACCGCTAAAAGTGAAATGCTATGTGGAAACATTATGATTGATTCAATTGTCCCATTTAAAAACGTTAAAAAATTGTATCCCCGCAACTTGAGTGTAATTTTTTTAATGATACCGTTAGGTCCTTACCAGACCCTTGAGAAAAGAGGAATTTGAAGGGAAATACAAAACAACAAATTCTTTAATACACCGGTAAACATTTCAATAAATAACAGTATTTTGATGTATTTACATATGTTAACTGTGTTTCGTTAATTATAAATATGTAAATTATTCACAAGTGTCACGGAAGACGGTAAGACTTTTTTTTCCTTTATCTACCGTCAATCGTGACAGATGCGTTATCCCAGACAGACATTCGTCGAGTCGCTCGAAAAAGAGGGAGAAGCTGCATAAACAGTATCATTGTACAGAAACAACGAAATTTTCGAGCGAATCGACGAGATCGATCGAGTGGAGGCCGATTTTAGTTGACACAGCCTGAGTCGATTATACTCCGTAACTCCGGTACGCAAAATGGGACTACATACGATATATGGGAATATTCTCTCTGCTTCTTTGTGTCTATTGCAGAAACATAAAACATCATTCACGATAAAACTACTTTTAAATACTACACAGACATCTTTGATAAAGTACGTGATCGGTTCAGGATGTGTCTACGATTCCTTAAATATACGCTATCTTATCGATGCCATTTTAGGTGTAAAAGAAATTCTTACAAAAATATGGTACCACCACTATACATTATATAGCACAATTCTACTGAGATTCTAATTAGAAATCTTACAAAAGACCTTATCAGTTTCGATATAGCAAACTCTCTGGGTAAATGAGAAAAAACTAGCTCCAATGGAGGTTTCCTTTGTTCGAGTGTCTCGACGTTGTCCCGAGACCAGAAGAGCAAAATAATGGCATGTACAATGTCGGAGAGTGATTCTTACATAGGTGATTGCAACTTCGAGGCTTGGCAACGATTTTTCTTATAAAACTTCCAAACCTGAGTTCACTAATCAATGGTACATGAAACATCGTATCATTTAAATCTTGTATTGAAAAAATATCAGCTGTTACTCACAGAAAATTTCAATGTATAGATTAAATTCAATCCATCTTCCGGTTAGTCAGCTAAAAGAATCGTTCAAGACTGTATACACGCGGTAATTACTCTACAGCGATACCATCGAAAACGAAATCGAATACGAAAAAAAAAAAAGATATTGCTATCATCAGTTCGGCAACACGTCCAATCGAACGAAGGAAAAGGTTAAGAACAATCCTGTGAAGCGGGTTCTTTATCAACAGTCACGTTATTCAGACTTTCGGCCGGTGTCGAGGCGACAGGTAACCTAGAGTCTGCTGTCCCATGTATAAAAAGCAGTTACCGTTTGTTCAGTGGCGCGTGGTAATTCCCGAGTGGGGTACTTCCCCCTCCACTCTGGCTTCTTTTTGGGTCGTAAACCCACTTGGCCCGACAGCAAGAGCCTCCGGGGGATTTGGGTTTGGTCAACGCTCCGCAGCGTCCTTTTTTCACAGGCATCGATCTCTTCTTCCTCGGCGTCTCTTTGAACAACGGATCACGCCTATGGACCTATTGGCCTCGATTCCAGAGGAGAAAGTTACCACACTCTTCACGAAATCTTCTTTCTCCGTTCGAATCACACTAGGTCCGTTTCCTTAATTGGGTTCGTTAACCGTTTCGATCGTGTTCCCTGCTACCCATAATTGTCCCTTCACGTACCACATCTTCGTCGAGTTACCCTTTCTCGTTCGATTTACTTTTGATCCCATTTCCTTCTACACCATCGGCGATCGATCACTCGAATGTGATACTAATGACAATTGACAGTGACATCGCGTTGATGTTCGGCTACGGTTAAACCGGCCGGTTATTAGAGTTCTTTCTTCTTGTACGCTTTCCTGTAGAAGTCGCTGAACAGGTAAATGAAAATTATCACGTTCGTCATGAAGAAATAAGTGAGAGCCTTCGGCACTTTGCAGTCCATCGCAAGTGTCATCATCAGATAGCCAAGCATTATGATGAATTGAATCTGCCGACAAGGAATTATCAAGAATTAATATTTATGCGATCGGTGTCGTTTGGCAAGTGAACGCGTTAAAAGATGCGAGGGAAGATTGATTTACCAGCTGGATCCAGGTGATGTACTTCTTCCACCATAAGTATTTCCTGTATTGTGGGCCAAGAGCCGCGATTAAATAATACGCGTACATAATGATGTGCACGAACGAGTTGAGTAGCCCAAGAAGAGCACCCTGCTCACCGGGCAAGAATCGAACGTAACACCACGAGAACACCGCTGTCATCGTGTGATGATAGACGTGCAAAAAGCTGACCTGATTTTGCTTCTTCCGGAGCACAAAGAACACCTTTGGAACGAAAAATACTTTTAAGTGGTCTTCGTCACTCGATTAATTTCCTCAAACTATCATTTGCATTCGAAAACATTAGCTTCGCTGAAGTAAAAATATAATCATTAAAATCTCACAGTGTCGAGAAGTTCGCTCATCTTTGCAATATGGTACCACCAGGCTGTTGCAGATATCTGTGTACACAAAATAAAATTCCGTTGATACGTTTGCAGAACATCCAGTGAAATAAAATTATAAGTGTCATTTTCTACGAAGTAATCGACTCACCGTAGCTTGTACATCTATGTCCGTGAGAGACCGGCTCGAATTGTTGCACTTGGGGGACAGAATTACTCGCACTATGCTCGGGTCCAATGCCTGAAGGCAAAACAAAACACTGAAACTGTCTTAGACTACAAGTTAGAAACGGAAGAATTGCAATTATAGCGAAAAAAAAACATAAAAACTTCGAAATAAGATGTTTCATTTCCGAAGACACAATAATTTGAAATCTGAAACTGTCTCTGTTGAGCTTCCACGACATTGTACATTGACTACTAAAATATTCAGTATTGAAATAATAATATCCTGATAAAATAGATTCGTAGCATTCTGTATGATTGTCACAACATGCTGAAAGCTTTCGTCCGATGTCGTGTACTTCGTAAATGACCATTTACCCTAATCGTCAACCATATACTGAAGATGACTTGAAAGGCGTTATAAGCGATCAACGGCCCATTCAATTGGTAGGCCGGTCTGTTCTCCAGCATTTTCGGCCCGATCTTTAAGACGAACGCTAAATACGTTCCCACAATGCATAACATTGGTCCAGGCGAGCTCATCATAGGCCAGGACTCCACCATGATCTCTGAAAAGTGAGATTTATTCAATTCACGTGCGTCACGCTATTATATTAATTTATACGTGCGTAAACCTGTTTCGAAGACATTTTACAGAAAATCAGAGTTATATAAATACTTAACAAACAGGGTTACATAATTAAATTGAACTAAAAACAATATTTTTTTCGGAAGTAACCAGAAGAACGATTGTATTCTCTCAACGATGACATGGAGAATTTGCATAAATTACCATCGGCCTTACTTAGCTATACTAAAGAATAGAATTTGTAGTTGTTAACGGTAATAATTTTAAAATTATTAATCTCTATTCGAGCGAATGAATAGAATGATTTCTTAAATATGACACGTTTTCAACTGTGAGCGTCATGCATTTAATATTAATTTATGCATAGAAGAACGTATACTTATTGCCTTGAACCAAATAGTAAAAAAAATTAAGTATTACATAAATATTTAATAAACAGACTTGCATAATTTAAGCGAACTAAAAATATATTTTTGCGAGTAACCGATATGTCATTTGTATCCTCTCAACGGTAGCATGGAAAATTTCCATGAACTATCATTGGTATTATTGTACATAGAGATCCTCCAAAAAGGAATCGTAACTGTTAACGAAGGGTAACCCTGTATTCGTGCGAATCAGTAGAGAAGTGTGAAGAAGAAATTCGATCCGCATCATCAAGATTCTGCTCTTTGACTAAGTAAGTACTGACGTTCAACACAATTACCTTTGTTGATCTCCTCGATTTCATTGTAGTTGCTGACCACCAGGCGAATTAGGCTCGTCATGTTGGTCGGTTCTGTGATCTCTCGTTTGAATAAAGCCTAAAATTTACGTTTTCTTTTAGCGATACGACATTTGATCTTCGTCCTATTTCAATGAAGGAGGATAAAGATCAGCGCGCGGTTCAATAACGCATACAGAGACCAAGAGAAACTTTTACAGATACCTAATCAAGATTAATGGAACTATACACGGTGAATCGACCTCGACGAAACAAATGATTCGTCGCTTAACTGAAGTATGTGGTGTAGAAAAAATATTCTTCGAAGCAGTTGGAGTGGCAAGTTAAGTACTAATAGTTACTTTGACAGCACGCTAATTCGTATTGTGAAGGTTTCACGATATCATACAAGTTTTACTAAAGGCTGTGCATTGCCACACCGGTGTTAAAAGAACCTCCATATTAACAATATACGTAAAATTAATTCTTTTGAATCACGTACGATTGTGGATACAACCACTTAGAAGTAACACCTTGTGACTGCTTCAAATTATCAATAATAACCTTAAAATAAATATTAATTAACCCTCGTGCATTGTTCAGATCAATGTGTCTCGAAGTGAATGATTGATTCTTAATTATATCTCTTATAATAACTTAATTCGATTTTAATTCAGGCCCAATTTAACTCAAGAATATTTAAGATCAATAAGAAGAATTAAAGATCACAAGTACGAAAGTCATCGGACGTAATACAGAGCAGCTTACCTTACTTCCGCGAACAGCTCATGAAGTATTTCCGACAGAACAGATCGAAATCCAAAGTTCTCCGGTGGAAATCTTCTTGTCTCCTATTCTACCACGTTAAACTCACTACCGGGTCAGATCCTGCCTCCTTCACGACCAAGTTCTAGACTGGTCACCGAAGTCCTCGGAGACGGTGTTATCCAAGGAGAAGCCGAAGAGGATGATGGAAGAGCAGCTGCCAACCAAAAACTGATCATCCGGCGACGAAAGTAGCGGCCAAGAGGACCAAAACCTAGATCTCTTACGGCTGACCCCACCACCGTTGGAATCGTGCTCGTAGTTAAGTCGTGACTTCCGTCTGCTCGACGGGGGGCAGCAGCTCGGCGAAAGAGGAAGGGAAGAAGATGCGGAATGACGGAACCGGGAGACTTCGATGAACGAGACCTGTCATTGCAGAAATAATTTGTCTACCCTACGACCTGAAGGTCCCGGTCTTGACGTAGATTCGCGTATTTGACCAAAGATTGTAAATCGTATCGACATTTCCAACGAAGACGATTTCTTCGGGGTTTTATTTGAGATGTTGGACCAGTTAATAATCTATGTTTGCTATTCGAGTCTCCTGTGGTTGCGGTCGAGTGAACAATGATGAAATTCACCTCCTTGAAAAGGATCTTATTGTGTACGTGAAAACCAATTTCTAACTTCAGTGGTCGAATATCTAATGAAATTGAGACATTTAAGCCGTTTCTTTTAAGCGGTATAATTCCAGTTTTCCTTGTCTCGAGATATTTAATGTTTTGTACTTTAACCTAATGAAAAATATTGTTAGACACTAATACGCTTGGTTTTCGCATTTAAGATTCCAGACGTGTTTAATTCTATTATGTGACCATTTTTTAAATATTCTGTAAGTGGGACAGTGTTTTTTGTTAACGATGACTGGATTCGTACCACTTTCGAAAGTATTAACTTGTCAAGGGTATGACTGTAGAAAATTTAAATTTATATTTCAATGACGGTAGTGATACTTAGTAATACTTATGACAAAAACAATGAAGAAATAGTGTTGAATGCGAAAATATATATATTTGATATACACATGTTCAATAATCTTATTATAATAAGTATAATCAAAAACCAGACTGTTAGTAGCTTTTACTGATAGTCATAGCCTGATACTATAAATAGTCTATTTATGGTATTTATGCAACATTTGGCGGACAAGTTTTTTGTTGGCGTAATACATACTAAAAGAATATATGTAGCTGAAACTGGTATATTCGCTAACTTTTTTCTTTGAAAATTGGATATGTAACACTTTAAATAAGAGCGCTCAATTTCACAGCTACTAGGAATCGTTGCTACCTGATTAATGTGCAAATTTACTGCAAGAATGTTGAATGTGGTTTTGAATGGTGCCGCGACAAGGCGTAATTAAGGTCAGACGAAATTATAATGCTATAAACGACAAGATACCACAGATTGTGGATATTGAGTGTGATGTTGGTAAAAAAAATTACATTCCCCGGGGGTAGTTGTAACTTTGCGCGACAGTTCTCCCGAGTACATCAAGACGAAAACGTAGAACTTTCCGAATATTTACCGCCGTTGCAGTCGACGAACATTTGCGAAATCCGTGAACGGTTTGTTTGACCGGAATAAAGAGACGGGTTCAACACGGGCGAACACGAACGAATATGTTTGCCCCGTTAAACTCTTTAGAGAGGTAAAACAATGACGCCATATATCTTATAATTTCGCGGCCATTCGAAAACAAAAAAAAATGTTCAATATTTCCATCCAATACGAACCATGCTGTCGGTCGAATAGTTATAAATGCCAACTTAACAGCTTAGGAGAACGTCAATGTTGACTCAGACATGGCAATTCGAGGCACAAATTAAGTTTATTTACGTCAAACGCTTAATTAGCAAGGTTCTTGGTACGGAGGAATACTTTGTCTTTAATATTCCCTCCAAGACACGAATCGTTGAATATTTAAAAAAAAAAAAACGACTAAAATGTTCTGACTCGGTTCTTCTCGTCGGTTCTCTTGCTTCGAGGCACAGTTACACGGTACAGTAAAAGTGTCAAGTAGGACATGCAACGCGGCTGAACGATATTCGTGTTTTAACTGCTCCCAGGATTTTATTACTAGAAATCTTATGGTCTTAAATCAATGATTTTTATGAAAATAAAATGCTCGGCGACGTTTTTAGGAGGCGAGGAGGATGCGGAACCAGAACGTTTCTTTGGGGCTGCTACGAACGACGGACGGACCAATAACGCGGGCACCGCGTGGACGGCTACGCTTGTAAAACCCGTGGAGGATTTTTTAGAGAGCTCGTTCTAACGGATTTGCCCGTGGAAGTGAGTCAACGGGACGCTTCGAAGGTTACACGGTGGCGTCGGTGGGTCAAAATGGACGTTTTTGCGATTAGTTTGTGTTCCTCGACCGAGATTCACCACAGAACGATCGATGGGCTCAGAAGCTATTCATAGATGTCAACGGAAAGTTAACTTCGGTGGTGTAAACGGAGCTTCTGATTTCTGGACACCTTCTAATTAGTTTGAAGAAATGTATAACAATGTGATCAAGACAGGGATACGATGTGGAACGGAAATATTCGACCGACAGGATTCATAATGTACGTTCTTGTAACAGTTTATACCATTTGTGTTGATGTTATTTCAATTCTTCGTTCAAAGTTTTTAAAATGTTACCAGTTAAGTCATGAAGCAGAGAAACTTCTTGTGTTTTAATTTTCAAATTTGTTGTCTAGAGTTTTCAAATTTTGTCTGTGGTTCCAGTATTTTGGTCGCCCGATGGCCATAGAAGAACAAATGATTCTATAGTGAGTCTGATTCGTGACAATTATTTAGCTTCATTACGATTACTATTGTTCTTATGAACATTAATGAACATGACATTTGATTCATTCGGACGTGTTAAACCGACTGTTACTGGCCGTCAATGACACACGTGTGGAATCTACATTACGTGAACAGGTAATAAAAATTCAGTAAATAAGAATCGCCGTTTATTTGTGTAGGATACACATGCAAATGTGTTGATTGAACAATTCCTTTTATTTACTTTAATGAATTCTGTTGTATACCCCTTCGATGTTATTATCATTTTCAATTATTATGTGCATGTTGGTATGAATACTTAATAACGCATATTAGTGTTACAAGTTTCTAAAAGTGTGTTCAGTTGTATCCAAAGTGCATTTATGCAGTGTTCGTTCCTCTTTGAAAAGTTTTTACGTTATCGAAAAATCTGGACTTTCGTCTGAAACACTTACGGAGCAGTGTTTCACAGACCATTGAGAAACGTTCCTAACGGAACTCTCGGTCCAGTCACAATACTTTCTAATGAACACTGTCGTGCATAATTTCCCTATAATGTATAACTAACAGACGGCGTGCGATTGGCGTCACCACTCACAGGGTAATCCTCGTCACTCGCACGTTGCGGATAGTAGTGTCACCCGTTTTAAGGATACGATACACAACCGAAAATGAGAAATTAAAATGGCGAACGAAAAAAATTTATGGCTATGATACATATTCATTAGTGTCGCTCCATAAAGACGCAACGTTAAAGTGCATTTAGCATGAAACTAAAAACTATTGAGTCGTTATACGTAAAATGGCCGATTTTTTTCTCCAGCAATATATTAAACTTTAAATAATTTTTTTCAATCGAGTAAGTAAAACTGGACCTCGTGTACGTGTGCCAGCAGAAACGTAACTGTGTTTGCGCAGGTACTATATAAAAACGACATTTTTTTAACCTAGAATTTATTGCTGCCTTCTACGAATTCCTTCGTATACGTTTGTATATGGACAGATCCGCTGGACGTCATCGTAAAATCGATCACTTTGTGTGCAACAGTTTAAATAGTTTATAACAATACACTACCATCCACGAACAATAAAACTACGAATCATATGACATCCTAAACAATCGAAAAAGAAATCCCCCAAATCTGTAAACGAAAGCTGTACAATGATCTAAGATCTAGTATGTCTAAAGATCTAGCGCATCCGATAACTGGGAGCTATATTGGGCTCCAGAAGTCAAAATGACATTCCTCGTGGTTCCAGCAGTATCATAACGGCACCTGCCGCTAAACCGTCCTCCCGTCGGTTTCTTCCTCTTTCTTCTCTACTAGGTTTGCCTTTCGCTTGGACCGCCCGTTAAAATGTCAGAAAAGTAGGCCAGCTTTTTCGAACACGGCACTCGACTAGGCGACAGTTCCGATTTTATTAATCTCCGATGGTGCTCCATCCCCGAACGGAGACACAAAATAAATTCTGAGAATTCAATACTTTCTATTAGAGATAGCAGAACGGTCAACGATAAGATTTGATTAGAAATTGGACCAATCGTCAGGTCTTTCGAGTTTCGAACAATGATTACAGCCAAACTACCGCAAAATTTGTGAAACACAGCGAACCTGTGACGGACACGTACAGCGCGAACTATTGGACACGAACGACCCACTTTCTCGGATAAAATCGTTTTAAAAATCGTACGACCCGTGTCACTGTTTTCTGTGTACACATGAATCATACGATATTTCCATTACTTTGGATGGCCTGGAAACGTAACGATGCAACGAATTCTCTTTGGTATTCTCATATTGACTTCAAATACACTCGACGTTCTTGAAATGATATTCGCTGACATTGAAACGTTCTTGATCGCTGTTGACTGTGCTCGAATGTCCTTGAAGATCTCGAGATGATTTCGCGTGACATTGACCGTTGAAAATCGAAACTCCGGCTTTACTATCTCTGAATTACATTATCTTTTTTTTTATTAATGAATTGTAGGTATCCTTGAGTTACTTTCACCCTTAAAACTGATACAGTTAAGTCTCGTTCAATATCCCAAAATACCTATTACTGTGTTTAAATAATATTCTTGGCTTCTAGTTTATTTGCACAGAAAACATTTACACAATGAAAATTCTGTGATGGTTTTTCTATTTTTATTAACCTGTTAAGAGCAAATGACTCAAGATCTGAACTCGATTTTTATCGAGTTAACTTGTATTTCATAGATATGAGGTATTCTAGGATGACAAATTAACTCTGAACTACAGACCGTTGGTCTCACGGACGAATCTGAATTTTCATTTCACTATCACAATGTAGTTGAAAATTTCGGAGACTCCAGCGTTTGATCCCCTTTAATTATTCGGTAAGTGGAACACTATGTTCAAAAACGATAATGATACAACATTAATGATATAACATTCAGTTGATTATTATTATAAAAGTGTTACGATTCGTCTGTGGTTAAGGATTAAACTCGTCTTCGCCGATTAAAATAGTTAAGAAGGCGGACGAGTTCGCGAGATGGGAATAAATTGCACAACTGATTGGTAAATTAATGTTTATTAGTTGTTTTACTTAACCAGGCGACCAATCATTGAGACCGCGCGTGGATCGCGATCACCGTAGAACAGTCTTTCGTCTCCGAACAAAGAGGAATTTGCTTCAAGCGTGAACGTTACGCGTCAGCCGTGGGCTTACTCTCCTAATGTTTACTCTTTCTTAAAATACAAGTAATTAAGTAACCATAGCGAACTGTACGTGTACCTAGCCGCGCATGCATAGCGATAAGTATCGAGGGATGGATGAACGAACTTAAATACAAAGATGGACCCCAGGGGGAGAACATTCTGCAGTGAGTAAGAATCATGTGTTTGCGTTTGAACGACCTATTCTTTATCGCGAATAGACTGCGAACATTTACGTGAATTCCTATTTTTCCGCAAGATTTTGTAGACAAGACCTTTTCATTCGACTCGAAGAACGATGCTTACACATACACACTTCTTATTTTGTATCGATCCGCTTACGTTCCTACACGAGAATGATAGGTGTCGACTGTCTATGATCGAGGGGGAAAATGATGGCATCGGTTCTGTTTCCGAAAGGATGTTCTTGGTACAAGTACTTTTTTTGGGCACTTGCACCTCGCGCGACGGAAACGGAGCGACATCGAAACGTGCGAAGGCTCTGGAACGTATCGGAACGTGCGATGGGGCCACGGAACAACGTTTTTATTGACTCTTCAGCTTCCCGTTCGTGGCCTCCGTGGCGTTGCCGTTCTGGCTAACTTTCGGTCTCGGTTTCCTGATGTACGTTTTGTAGTAGAAATCACCGAACAGAACCATCATGAAGAGATTCTGTGGTATCAACACGGCCGCCGTCCATTTTGGGAATCCGCAGTCCTCTACCCAGACAAGAACAACGAAATGCAACATTATCAAGAAAAACTGGAACAGCTGCAGCTGAGTGATGTACTTCTTCCACCAGGGTCTACTTATTCGTAGCGAGGTCGCCAAGTAGTAGCTGTACATCACGACGTGGACGAACGAGTTAAGCGAACCTAAACGAGAAGAAATTTCCGTGTTTAAATTTTTTTTTTTGTTATGTTGTACGTAGTAACCCATCAACGAGCAGTGAAATGTTATCCAGGTACTTTCATTAATCAGGTCGGTTATAATTGTTATTTATGAGACACATTGTGAAACGCAAATGGACGGATTCGCATACATTTCTATTGAATTAGAAATGTAAGCTGGATAGAATAATGAATAATAAAATGGCAGTGATGCTCGCGGCAGCGCTAATCCGAAACAGAATCGCTGCGTTAACATGGGTCGTTCCGTAATCAATTTCGATGACGTGTAATTGGCGTACAGAAAGAGGTATGCTTGTTTCTTTAGCATTTTTTGTCAAGTTATCTTATCAAACATCAATGACATAACGTTTCATTTCACTTTTCAATCTGAACATGGTTGCATCGTAAAATGGTACAAATTGAGAGTTAAACTTAGGATAAATGCTTCGATTATATCTTTTACATTAAAATAAACGAAAACACTCTAGAATTGTCTAAACCAAAAAAAAAAGGAATATTTCGATTGAATACTAAGAGCTGCGTTTACCTAAGAAGGTGAGATGACCGCCGGCCAAGAATTTCGTCGCTGCCCAAGTACCAAAGGACATTCCGGCGTGATGGTAAACATGAAGAAACGACACCTGATTCTGCTTTTTTCGGAGAACGAAGAATACAGTGTCCAGCAGGTCGAGTAGCTTCACGATAAAATATAACCAGACTACCCTGGCGATCTACATTTCGTATAACGCGTTAATACACCTTTCGAATACAGTTTTAAAGGACTATACGCTCGTACTTACACGTATAGCGTGAGGGGTCCACGAATAATCGACTGGTTCACAATAGATATTATATTCATCTAGCCAAGCCAGAATGATTGCCTGAAACCGTGATAAACTTCACCAGTTTTTCCGTCGTTCGTTGTCAAGTGGATCTCGGTATGGAAAATTTTCACAAAACTGTACGCGTACCTGGTATACTAGATACGAGCATAATACTATCTGTATAACGTTGTACAACTGCATAACCCTCTTCAGGTCGAAGGGTTTCCTCTTTGCCATCAAATTCGGTCCCAGTTCGTGCACGAAATACAAGTAGAACACTAAGATACCTACCGTGGCCCATGGCGAACCAATCAGGAAAAAGTCCTGCGTTCGTGGATCTTCGGGGAATCAAAGAAGTGTCCTTCTGTTATAGATTATTTGTTATCTCGAACGTTTAACGTATCATCGATTCTAGCATCCATACCTGATAGTTCGTCGTTGATATACCTATATCCATAGTAGATTCGTCGTATCAACGTCGCCATTTTAATATGCGTATATCAGAGTCTACCAGCTCCTTCTAACTTGGTGGACGTAGCACTCCGCGAATCCTCATACAATCGCGATCGAGACCAAGAAGAATTCTTCCCTCGTTGATTCGGACGCGAACGACCGTAGAATAGTCGAGGGTTTTTCGTCCTATCGAATGCCTGTGATCATCGACGTGTTCGCGATCTAGACGTCAAGAATGGAAGAAATTGATAAAAAAAAAAAAAAATAAGAAAAAGGAAATATGATTCCGCGTTGCTCGACACCCAAATGGTGGTTTCCTGGTCTAATCTTCGCGATCCGAGGATCGGGGATCTATCGAACCAAACACCGCGGGGAATCAAAGCGAACTGACGAAAATACTTTCTCTTCGTCAAAAACGGCGTCGGTAACCACGGCTGCCATTATATTTTAATTAAGATCGCGTGGAAGCTCGCTTGCTTCACGCGTATCCCCCTGCGGAATTCGACGCACCGCCTAGTCTAACTTCTTTGACCCTTTTCCGGCAACGGTGTACGGCCTTAGGTAACCTTAGTCGAGTCTGAAACACCGTCCAGCTAAATCTTCGATCGCGGCACTACGCATCGGGAAAGAAACTGATCGATCAAAAATTACTGAAGGAGCTGATTTCGTATGCTAATAACGATACAGGAGCGACAGTCCAGGGAGCTCTCTTTGACGTACGATGCATCGAGACATAACCGTAAGTTCAGCTTTTTAGTTAGCGGGTTTCGCACGTCATTTGCTCCAGGAAGTTGTATAACCATCGATTCTTCGCGTGGCGTCACTTCGGAAGAGTCAACGGTCCCCTTAAAATGAATTATATTGTAATTCGGAGAAATCGCTTTCTTCATGGCTGTTACGTTTTGCTCGGTGAAACTGATCCAGGAACCCAGTGAAAAGGCGACGAATGATTATTTGTTATATTTTTAATAATTTTGTTTGTAGAATATGCAACGTGTCGCTTGGAATGAGGCGAGAGCAAAGGACAACTTACCGTACGGCATTTAAATAGGCGAAAGGAAAAATGAGAAATCTTATTCATTTAAATATTTCAAATACACATCACACGAAAGCCTGGTGTTGTATTATAATGTACTCGTTTCTTGGCCATCAAATTTTTAAAGAGATTGGTTTACAACTCGTTATAGCTCTTCACAGGTACTTTATCATTTTCATTCAATACCGATCGAACATGTGTTTCATCTGGATACACTGCAAAAATTTGCACACAATAAAGGACGTCAGTGACCGTGTAATACGCCTGTAAGGAACTTTACTGCAAATTCTGCGATAAATAATCAAGTATTGATTACGTTTATGCGCGTTTGCGTGAATGAGAACTACCTCGTTTTCTGCAATGATTATTGGTTATGGGAAAAGGGGGCAATGGTGATCATTTAAACAAACTTAAACTATTAAACTACTAACTAAATATCGAAATAATCAATTCTTGGTATTAATTTTTTGGGTAAAATTAGCATATAACGAATAAATGCTTTTGACCGCTATTTACTTAATTAACTCATCAATTATGTTAACATTAAATTAAATTGCGTTATGTGCACAAAATATGACATCAGTGACATGTAAAAACAAAAAACGCTTGTTATTCTCGAAGTGTAACAACTTAGCTGGGCCATTTAGGGGTACAGCGGAGAGTGTTACGGGACGTAAACCATAACAACAACAATTATACACTTTAGACATTTCGTTTTGTAATAATAATACCACTACACCATTTTCCTCTGAATATATATATATACCAGTCAGTAATATACACAGAAAGAATAGCGTACACGTGCAAACATATTGTTAGAATATGTGTTTACCGTAATTAACATTTTGTACGAATATGTATTTTCAAGATCATATATACATTGAATGAGTCGAGCGAAAGGCGTATAAATCGATGCGAAATTATTTTAATCGGAAGCATCGATTCCTCGCCGTCAGCGTGACACGAAAATTATTTCAGCCCGATTCGTACCCTGGCTATGTTGTTCCAACATGTCTAATATATATGTGTGACACGCCGCTTCCGGAGGGCGAATCGAATCTTCGTTTTTGTTTTCATGGCGATAACATTTTTTCGATGAATTCCCACCGACGCGGAACGATAATCGACGCACGGATCGAACAAAAACGTTAGTTACCGTAGACGATGAGCGCGGTTTACGCGAAGTATTCAGCAACGAACGACGAAAACATGCAACAAAGCATCAGAGATGAAAATTGCATACGTAATCCGATTTACTTGTTAATTATGCGTGCGTGGAACCGATAATGACCTTATGTAACAGAGTACACCGTTGGAACCAGTTCCACAGGTTCGAAGTTGAAAAGTTTCACCGACTTTCACGCAACATTTCCGATATTATTTTACAAACTGCCCTCCTACGCAATGCATAATAATCGTTCTTAGAATTACGTCAATGTAGTTTTCAATCGAAATGTTCGCATTCATGCGAATTAATCGCGGTTTCACGTGATCGTGTAGTTCTGATAAGTTCCCTTAGATATAGAAATCTCTTTTAACGAAGAGGTTTAAGAGATTTAACGAGATCGTAAACTGTGATTCTAAAAATCAGGAAACTTCACTGCAACGGTGAGTCAATAGTAATAGGGTAAGTTCTGTCAAGACATATACGCGTTCACTGTCTGTACACATTTTTCTGCGTTTCGCATTTACACGATTGCACAGTGAAGATGAAAGCTGCTCTTCTGAATCACTGTTGGATTGAGATTTGTAAATTTCTCCATACTCGTACAGCTACGTTCGCGCATATCGTATATCAACAGCCCGTGGAAATTGTCAATATTTGTACGCATTCTGTTCAAGCACAGCTTCTCTATCGAGCATCGATGCTTTCCAAGTGACATCGCGTACGGTTCAATTGATCCTCGCTAATATGCGTGTCATGCGCCGCGTACAATTTCCATAGACGATAATGTCAATACCGACGAATGGCAGTTTTAACATGAAGCGGATGGAGAGGTCCCCGGGGTCCCATGGTCGTGACCCTTAACGACGACGGGATGTCGATCGGTGAATAATCCATGTTCCGCCAGCAGTCGATGATCGAGTATTGCCTTTGCGTCTATATGTATCTTCAGACGCCATGGTTTTCGGAAATAAGAAGAAACATATTAAAGGAAAATAACTATGAATGGAAGTAATAATTGATTTGTTTAATTTTTTATTATGTAAATTATTCGGTAAAGGAATTAAATAATCATGGAAACTATCTAGGATATGCATTAAAAAAGATACGAAATACGAAAATTAAATTAAGATATTCGTGGAGGCTGAAGTTCGTCTGTTTGACTTCCGAGATGAACACATAATTAACTACAATGTAGTTAATGTCTATTTACATTTTAACAATTTAAATAAGATGCACACGCAAATAGAAACACGACGATCTATTTAAATAAAGAGCAGACGTACAGAGAATGTTTAAGTGAAAATATGATTCCTTTATTGCATAACATAATCAATATGCATATATTAGCAAATACGCGGAATACTTACAGATGACGAACGATGCTTTTGATTGTTAGTAAGTTCCTATTAAACATGTGCTGTTGTGAAACTTCACTTACCTTAATTCGTAACTTAACTGCCCCTATGTACATACAAGCATTCTATAGTTTCATACAAAGATAACCTATCTATTGTCTGACATAGGCACGCTGTTGTTGATTATCATTACGTTATGTAGAAAAGAAGAACAGAGGTATTCCATCTGTTTTACCGACTGAGCAACGAATTCGATCAACGAGATCGGTTCTCGAGACAATCAATCGATAACCAATTTCATCTGTGATCGTTTCCTACATTATCGACGCGTTGAATTGCACATTGTTTCTTACCAAGATATTCGATCTGTTTTCGAATTTTTCACAATGACGCAGGACTTGGAGGAAAGTGTCTCTAAATCTTTCTAAAGACACATTGAAAGTATACAAAAGGTACATACAGACAGACGGTATAGTGAAGTAACACACTTAAAATCATAAGGCTGTACAATCGAAAAGACCAATAAAAAATCTACAGTACATCTAATAATGAAAGAATTTAAAGCCACAGGCATATCTCTTATAATTAACGGTGCGAAAACATATTCAAGTAGCTATGGCATAAACAAGGTTCGGCTACCCTCTTTCTCTCCGTTTATCTTACTCTCACTCTCTGTCTCTCTCCAAAGCAATATTTTTATGAATCAAGAATCGTCGAGTAACCAACAGCAAACGTTTCGTACAATCTGTCCTTTCAGCAGGCTGGCAAACCTATAGAGGCAATGAACATGAACGACCTCCACTGGCGGGACATAACTCTCAATGGCAGAGAACACTATACGGAGGCTATATTCGACGTTCCTTGATCATAAAGTTTCATTCAACCTTGTTCTTGATTGTGCCATTGCTCGAACTCGCCGCGGAACACGTATCGGCGGCGCTCTTCTGTTTCTGTCCCTTCACGTAATTCGCCATGTAGAACGAGCCGAACATGTAGATGAAGAGCAACGAGTTCAGGGTGAGCAGGAACGATATGAACTTTGGATAATTGCAGCCGTTGAAAAACATCTGGATGTTATGGACGAAAATGATGCTGAATTGGATGAGCTGTAGCGTGGTCAAGTGCTTTTTCCACCATAGGTATTTGTTCATGTGCGGTCCCATCGAAGACAGCATGTAGTACATGTACATGATCACGTGGATGAACGCGTTGATCACGCCCAAGAGGGTACCATGCCCGTTCGGCAAGTATCTGCAACCGATCCAGGCACAGATCGGCATCAGAGAATGGTGGTAGATGTGAAGGAAGGTGATCTGACGGTTCTTCTTGCGAAGAACGAAGAACACCGTGTCCAACAGCTCGATCAGCTTGCACATGAAGTAGAAGTGCACGGCCCGCATCATCTGGAAATGGCGAACGAGTCGATGTTAGGAAGTTTGAAAGAAAATCGATGAATTCCGTGTAAAATCGATGAACATTCGTGTCCAATTCCGTTACAGGACATCATTTGTCATAGCAATGGAAGAACAAGATATTGCAAGCTATGCCTGCGTATACAATATTACGTCATGCAATTTTTTTATATCTATGTAGTACTACGTAGATAGCTACGTGGTTGGGGTATAGTGCGATTCATCGGTTCTCTTCCGTCTTGATTAATGTCGCCGGTTTACAGGGAAATCCAGTGTAGGTAGCATCACCGTTGGAGGCCGACGAACACGTTACTGTTATTACCATTATTTCTGGGAAATCAGTGCCGTCGATGTAACAAACTGAACCACGAGACTCTCGTCGACCGACAAAGTGAAAGGAATAAAGATTCAGTTCTTGTGCGTATCAAAAAAAGCATTTCCTTTGAAAGCTACAGTCCTTGGATTTATGCGAGTATCCTTTCGATACTACATTGTAGCAATCGCAACTAGAGATTGAAATATGTCTTCATTCTTGGCATGGCTTGCGTTCAGAAGGTCGAACTGTATGTATAATCAGGTGTTTCGAGTGATATTGTATGACTCGGTTAGTTTTCATAATTGCAAGAACGTCATCTTGAATAAATATTCAATTTATCGGCATTGAAATATATTCAATAATATTATTTGCTATATTCCAGACGACATGAAAAAAAGCAGATAAAAATCTTCCGAATGAAATTTTACCTGCTTTTAACAGTACCGTCCGAGGCATTTCAAGGTTGACGTGGATTCTTGTTTCAGGAAAAAAAGAAACATACCCTGCTGTACGTTAAGACATATACAGACTGTCGTGTAACTGGTGGTAGAACAGGTAGGGAGTGATCCTATGTGAAAAAATAGGTCGAAAATATAGAATAAAATTGTTTCATTTAAGACTTCGTTTTCAAGAAAATCGACTTTGAAAATTAATCTAAAACGCGTGTATTCGTCGTGGTAGTAAGTGGAAATGGAATGCAATGAACAGACGCGCTAGGTAAGTCCTATTCAGCTGCGCGCGTATCCAGTAGATTCTCAAAGTCGACTTTCTCGAAAACAAGCTCTCAGGTAAAAAAATTTTGTTCTATATTTTCGACTTATTTTTTTATGTAGAATCACCCTGTATTTGGTTGTACCACCAGTTACATGACACCCTGTATTATGCGAAGACCCTAGTGATCTCTACAATAGAAAGAATTTTGTTGCTACATTGATAATACCTCGACAATAACAGTAATTTTGAGAGTAAGTAGTCCAAATTAACTATGATGGGAATATTCTGTCAATTTAATAAAGCCATTCATGATAGCCATATATCTTCTACCCTATAACATTTTCGTTTCTTTAATCCTGGTACGACTTTACTCAATCTTACGATACTTAATCTTAGCCTCATCAGAAATGTTCTCAGGTTTGCGAGACGTGTAAGGAAAATGTTACTCATCCGCGTATTTCTCCTTCCTTGTCATTATTTCTAATGTACATAGCTGGACCGAGATGTTCGTAGCAGGGTTAAGAGCGACATCCCTGTCATTCGACGAACGTACCCGGAGAGTATTTGGATTATTCGAGTAATCGACTGGCTGACAAGTGTAACTGTAGTCGCTCAGCCAGCCGCTGACCAGTCCCTCGTAAACGAGATATACGCTGAACAACACTTGTATGAAGTTGTAAACGATCATCACGTTCCTCAGATCGTACGGTTTCTTGTCCCTCATGTACCTCGGCCCAGCGGATGTGCTGAAGTAGATGTAGCTGACGACGATCATTAACAACGGTCCTGGACCCCCGACTAGGAACCAGTCGCTGGTCCTCGGATCTGAAAGACAAAAAACAGTGTTCTCGTCACAAACCACGCAACATCCTCTCTGTCGATCGTATATTAACGGTGCACGTTACCATTTCTGTTGTATATGACGTCTTTGAACCACTCCACGATGCCCGACATTGTCCTCGACGCTTCCGGTACGGATAAATCTGCAAAAATAGAATGACAAAGATCGGTTCTGAAACGTTCGGTCCGGTTATCCTTGCGAGGCGTAGCAAGCGCACGATAGATCACGGGGACTACTATAAACGTGATAATAAGCCGAGGATACCGCACAATTCCGTTGTTGTTAGCGCGCAATTGCATGGTTCGCCGACTGTCCTCCGGTGATTGTAACGCGTCGCGGTCGTCCCTGGGGACCATCTCGGACACCATTCATCGTCTTCGATGAATAGCCACCGGAGAAGGAAAATTAATAGGCGTAGCTCGAGGTAACCCGGATTCCAGTTTCGAGGATCGACGTGGCCGCGATGGACTACGCTAACTTGAAATTTTTCGATCGAGGAGTCTCCTCCGCTGTTGCGGAATAATGCCTAGCGAGACGATTAAACATGGTCCATGGTCATTGGTTACAAACGCTGGAACTTTCGTTCAGGTTATTTGCTATTTTATTTACATAATAACAAGAATCAAGAATCTTCTTGGCTTTCTTATTTTCGATAGGCAGAACGGACGTCTACGCTAGAATACTCCCTGAAGGGGATCGTGGCCGAAAACAGTTCGCGAATCAACGACCGTGAATCATTAGACGTCCCACGAGCGTCATTCATGGATTCGCAAAAGGTAGCGGTGAGACGGTGGCCGCGCGATATTCGAACCGCGGCCTTGGGCGACGGCAACCAGGATGCGGGAGGAACAGACGCCGAATAATCATCATCGCCTCCTTATAATTGCCCTCCGGAGTAATTACACCGAGAGGCGCAATCAGCCGAGCCGGAATCGTCAACCGAGAATATTTCTCCTACCACAGTGGCGAATTGACCGAGCTAATTGGCCAGCTCGCGGGGAACTCGACTGGAGCGAAGTCGACAGCGAATGATTATTACTAAAATCTCCGTCGACTTGATTGACCGGTCGAGCAGACGACGACGACGACGATGACTGGCGTTGCGAAACGGATACCTGAGTCAACGCGAGTCTTCGTTCGGGTAACTCCCCATCGGCCGTTTCTTTTTATGAAACATGCTCCTATCGACCGACGGAAAAGAAACGACTAAAGTTAAAGGTCCGACTGCACAACGCGACAAAATTCAGTTCGACAACTGTTCTGTAATCTACGTGACACGTGTCCTCGTAGCTAATGAATTTAGTACCCTGATGAACAGGGTGTTTCGTAACTGGCGATCGAATCGAAAGGACGACTGTTTATGTGAAAAAAAAAAACAATCAGAAAAACTAGAGAAGAAGTATCATAAAAGTTCATCAATGTGTCATCCATTTGAATCTTTGTTTCTTAATGAGATGTAGATTGTAACCAGTAATCGTGAAACAGCGATGTGTTCTGTGAAATAATGATATAAGTAATTTTTAATAGAAATTCATCCGGAAAGCTCGAAAGACAAGATTATTACATGAAATTTGCCTGGGAAACAACTGGTCCCGAGAACAAATTTTTACAAAAATGGTTGCCTTACAGGCATATAACAAGTCGGTAAATTTTATGACACTACTTTTGCATCATCCCGCATAAATAACTTTCACCCGTAACCATGCCGATCCTTGAAACACTTTTTCACAAGGGATGTCCTATTCGCGAGGACATAATTCGCTGTATTTCACACGCGCACAACAGGTTGCAACATCCGTAATGAATCGATGAATGGGGGAGACGGCTTATCGACACTGGAAAAAAGAAGAATCAAATCGATAACTGAAGGAATCAAAGGTGCATCGTCAAGGCCGGATAAAGCAACCGAGTCGAAAACAAGGGAAAGGAAGAAACGGCACAACAAAGAAGCGGCCAGTTGTGAAATAAAAGGGGTTAGGTAGGAACGTGAGGGATGCTGGTTGATCCGTGACTTGCAGAACACGACTGTTAAGAGACGAAGAGTTTTTCCGTGTGCTCCTATCCAAGGACCAAGGTGAACAAGATCGTTAATGCCCCGCATCGACATCTTCCCTTTTCTTCAACTTCGCCGACGCAGACCCAGCATCTCGATGACGCTATCTGCTCGATGCACAACTTTTTTTTATTTCGAAAAAAGTCCCGACAGAAATCCCTCCGGAGGGGATCTCGAATATGAGACCATTGCCCCGTGACCGGGGTTTCCCAGTTGTCAACAATCTCCATTAGGTCCGGTGAACGCCTTCGTCCGTTCGTGTCCTTGGATTCTCGGACTGGCTAAAAAATAATCGAGGAAAAGTAGACACAGAGCGTAGTGGGAGGGGCGCGAGCAAAATGATTGCGACGCAGACGCCGTGATTAATGTGGTGGCTCTAGGGCAGAACGAATTAGAAATGTCGCAAACAACGTGTATCCACGATCTCCATTCCGCTGATGTTTTTTCCGGGCCGTCTAATTCGATGATGACCGGGTGTCGAGATCGCAATATCGCGCGGCAACCAGCTTTCGGACCAAGATCGATCGCTCCGACTCCGATGCCCGGTTATTTAGGGTACTCAGAAACGCGTCAGGGTTCCTAACGTCGTTAATTTCCGTTTCTGTTAATATATCTCGGATGGGACGGTCAAATGATTCGTATTTTCGTCATAGGTGGACCGATGTTGCAACGAAAATGAATGATCGACGGAGCCTAATCGAAACGGACAACAACCAGCTAGAACAAGTCGAAGTACACAGAGTCGGGAACGACACTCGAGCTGGTCGTTTTAAAAATAGCATCATATGCTGCCTCCATGTTAGGTTGTTTCATCGGGGTTCAAGGACTGTCGTAGTGTAGGAAATTAATCTTGGAAACAGCCGGGCACAGCCGGTGGTAAATCCTACGCGGATCCTTGTGCAAGGACCGTAGGAGGAAAGCGTAGCAAACCGGTTGAGACAGTGAAACACTTTGCGATTAAATACGTTGCACGCGTCGAGAAGAAAACAACGCGGTAGGACCGGGAATGCGAACGGTGACGCAGGACCGTGATTCGATCGGATCTTAATCGCAAATTAATGTGTCTCTTTGCGCCATTGTTTGTTGTCACGGGAAAAGTTGTAACATAAGCTTCAATCGCGAAACATGTTTGCCAGAGGAATCCTCGATGGCTTCAAACTTTACCGCCGTCGAGGGGGAATAGAAATTGTCTGTAGACCAAACGTTTCTCACGTCTAGCGTTCGCAGTATGTTTTTGTAATTTTTCGCGGATTAAGTATTTTGCGGAGAAAATTGTAGCCAGAGGCAATAAGATATTAGTGGCTCTTGGCATTCCGAGGATTCGTTCGTGTCGTTGATGAAACGTTAAATGGCATTTTGAGTCAGTGCCTGATATCACTTGCGCGCATGACAATATAACCTATCGAGCAACCGTATGAAAACGTAATTCCGAAATATGAGATCAATGGTGGCAGATTGTGCTATTATGTTTTAGATGAAAATACAAGCCACAAAGTCCGAAGAAATCAAGAAAAAGTGCTGGGATTGTTACGTAGCCTTCGAGACAGTTGTATAATATTTCTACTTCGTTATTACACAGCATGTCATTGGGGTGGGGGGAGTAGGAAGTGATAGAATACCAGCTTTTGCAAAAAAAAAAGAACGCTTTGAATACGCACCGCGCCTATACCTCGGATTAATCGACGTCGTTGGCAATTGCTCGTATCGTTGGACGGATTTATCGCATTGAATAATCAAGGAAGAACAAGAAGTAATTTTTAAGAATTTTTTCTTTGTTATTAACGCAACACCTGCTGGAGATAACTGTCATCTTGATACGGGCATAATTTTGCTATAAAGGCATAGGTACTAAAACCTGAATTCTGTATAACTTTTCGTTACGGTTTGGATTTCTTTTGGATTGCGATAGAATTCCAGTTCGATGACATTCTGCACAATTAGTTCTCTATTCTACACGTCACAACGTTCCAGATAATTAATATACATTAAAGCATAACATACTATGAATCATATCTACATTATTACCCTAATAGATCAGATCGTTATCGGTATTAATTATCATGCATGGAAGGACAAATCATGAAAGTTCAATATACTCTATCCGTTCTCTACGTTTCCAGCTTGCAGTGTATAGAGTCACGCGGTTCTAATTCCTAACCCAGACCTAACCGACCAACATGGAAATTTATTTTTAGACTGAACAGCAGAGTGAACTTTTTGAAAACGTTTCACGGCTTTGAGGTCCCATCGAAAATTGAAGAAACACCAGAACGCGTACCGATATTGAAAAAGCCGCTGGCTCGTTTATGTAAAACAAAAACGAATAAAAAATAAACAAACGGACGCTCTTCCATTCGGCCCAGTTTTACTTTCCTACCGTTTTATGGATGAAGGGCGGCGAAGATGATATGTCGAAGATGAGTGTCCACCATGAGTGAAACCGATTCGAGCGGCGAGATTCCTCGCGCCGCGGTTGCGTCACTGGAATGAAGCACACCGTGTACCCGCTGTTCCAGTTTCCTGCCTTCTGCCTGTCCGAGACACGAAATTTCATCATGGTCCTTTCGTGAGATGCCTCTCCGAGACGTAAAAACTACTGGGAAAACGACCACCCAACACCCACCGATTGTACAGCCTGTTGCGCGAACCTTTCGCGACCAACGAAAACTGATCTCGTTAGAGGATTTTACAAACGTTCTACTCTGCATACACTCCATGAGAATGTAGTATGGGCACGTCCACAAGGTAAGAGCCGACCGCACATTGGTCCAGTATGCATATTCTCTGTGCGAATCTTATCAAGGCAAGCTGCTTTTTCGGTTTTAAAACGAAGACGTGTGTTGCGAAGCCGTAATTTTACTCCCGATAATTTACAGCAATAAGAAACGAGGATAAATGTGGAAAATCGTGCGGTCGGGAGGGATGAACGCCTGGATCGAATTGTGAAGTGGGATCAAGTTAGAAGAAATATGGAG